GAGTTTGAGACCAGCCTGAGCTACACAGTGAGTCCAAGGCCAACCTAAACTACACAAGACCCGGGGGGGGGGGGGATACAAATTCCTGGCCCAGACCTACATGTGGGATTGGAAATCTGGGAGCAAGGGACATCCAGGAATCTTGGGACTTACCAAACTCTCCAGGACACTAGGACTTTTGAATTTGAGAGTCCTGGACCTCGCCCACAGATTCCCCAGAACAAAAGGCAGATGGCACCGCTGCCCCAGGAGGGCCACCTGGAGGCCTAACCTCACAGGCTTCCCCTGCACACCTGCTGGTAGGGGTTTCACTCGGCACACAGGTACATTCCTACTGAGTGCCAGCCCTAAGGTAACAGCAGCCAGCCTCCATCACAGTGCCTGGGGGAGGCGGTTTTAGCAGGAACATGGCCAAGTCAGGGCATCCCCATTCCTCGTCAGGCTTCTGCAGATGAACAGCACTCAGGCTACCCCTGTCCCTGGCCAGAACTGTTGCAGCTCTGTACAGGATTTAAAAGTAGCCCACCCAGCTCCTTGGCCCAACTTCTGCCAAAGTTGACAGGTCCACCCCACAGGAGGCTGGTCCCAAGGACCTGCTCCCCTGGTCCCTTTGTATTCAGAGCAAACACGCCTGCAGGCTTAACCGGAAGGGGACACAGGGGAACCCTGGGGATGAGCTCTGAGGCCTCTCCCCGGGCACAGCTGGGGAGGAGTGCATTCAGCACCAACACAGTCTCCTCCTGGGCCCGCCTCTTTGCCCCGGCCTCAGCTCCCTCACTGGAGATGCAGATAGCTACCCTCCCCACGCGCGCAGCCAGCGCAGCCAGCACAGAGCGGATGCGCACTGACAACGCTCAGTAGTCAGAACACTTAGCCTCTCTCAGTGCATGCCAACCCCTGCCCCACACGAGGAAGCATGGGGCACCCTCCTTCCTGGGGCCACAGGTCCCACCTGCAGCGTTCCCACTGACAGCTGTGGGCCACATCTGGGTTGAACTTACAAAAGGGTCAGAGCATCTCACAGAACAAAGCCAGACCAGAAGGGGCCACCCAGACACCTTGGGATGGCAGAGGTGGCAGCCCCTGGCTGCGCTCTCCTGGCTCGGTGGTCCAGCAGCACCAGTGCCCAGCCATGAAGCACCACCTTGGTTTCATGCGCATTCGGGCGAGGAGCATGGACTGAGCCAGACCTGCGGATGTGCCTGAAAGGCCAACTGGTGGGGGAAGGGAGCCGGGGCTGCCCTAGCGGGCTCCATCCGTGCTAGGCCGGCTGACCTGCTACCCCTACCCCAGCAGCGCAGAGGGGCTGACGCACACAGTGGCCTAGGTGCACGGTGGCCTAGGTGCGGCAGCTCAGCTCCAACAAGCCCAGGGCCACTGCCCCCTTCCACCAGCCAGCCTTGGTCCCTGTCTCCATCTCTGAAAAACGACCAGAGACATTAACCCTTGCCAAGCCAGGCCACTTCTAGAAGGGCTGCAGGGCAGGGAAGCTGGGTACATAGCTGTGAAGTTGGCAGGTAGCCATGTACCTGATGGGATGGTCACACAGAAGTCCCAAGCGCCATTCTTCCTTCTGGGGGCTGCCCCAGAGGGTTCCGCTGGGAACCCTCCTGGTCAGCCTCTGCTGTGGAATGAATCCCTGAGCTGAGATGGGGGGTAGATTAAGCCTAGGAATGCGGCAAACACTGAGGAACAGGACCCTTCCTGTCGCTGTCAGGAGCATCATCTCTGGCCCCTCTACACACGATGGGAGAATTGGGGGGGGACAGGATGGGGGCGACAAGCGACCTCGCAGCAACAGCAACGGCAGCAGCAGCAGCAGCACCAACGGCGGCGGCAGCGTGATGCGTGAATCACCCAGAGCCGAGTCACCGCACTGGGGGCACCTCCCGGGCCCCCTCCCCCACCCTCGCACTCCCCCCCTCGCCCCTCCAGACTGTTCTTGGGAGAGCGTCGCGGGTGGGCTGGGGTGGCCGGCGTACGGTGACAGGCGACACGGGCCGGGCTGGGGGCGGGGAGGGGGCCTAGAACAATAGGGCCAGGTGCGGGTGGGGCGCGGCCGGGCCTCCTGGGTCCAGGCGAGCCCCGGTGCGGGGAGGTTGCGGGCGGACTTGGGGGTGACCGTAGGGGGCGGGGGCAGGGACCCCGCTCACTCACAGTACGTTTTCCTGGTCAGCTCCTCCACAACTTCGGGCTTCAACTTGCTGTTGGATTTCCCCATCCTCGGCAGCCGCGCCCCCGCCCCCGGGCCGGACCGGGCAGGGCGCCCCCGGGAGCGG